AAGATGAGTCGTTTTTGAAGCTATTTAAAGCACTTGTAGTCGTGTTTTATCACATATAAAACACTCCGCTACGCGTCGTGTTTTATATGTGATAAAACACTCCTACGCGTGCTTTAAATAGTACATACAGCAGCGGAAAAAATAGGCGAGACATTATTCCTTGAATTTGAAACTGTGGTCAGCTAGAACACTATATGTTTATGCACATGCAGATTTAGCACAAAAATACTTTGTTGGTCTGCAGGAAATTTTTGTCTCGAGGTTTTGCTCCCAGGAAGAAAATTCTTTTTTCCTGCCCTGAATATATATATAGAGTACTGCCATGTTTGGGTTGAGTAAATATCCAAGATTTTGTTAGCTCTTCACTCAATTCGAAGGGTCATTAATAAATGTATACAAATTTCCACTCAATAATTTTTATCAATAGTCACAGGGCCGCTCAGCCCTGCAAACCAGGCTCACATAAATAGCCCCTAGGGAGTGGTCATTATTTATGGGGAGGGGGGGTTGGGAAATGGGGGGGGGGAGGGGGGGTCGCGCTCTTTAACACAGAGAAAGGGGGGGTCATAAAAGTTTTTGAACTATTTCCAACGATCTAGAGACTCAAAATTTTCAAAATTTCCTAGCTCGGCGCCAACCATGGTAGCGCCTCGCGATCGTGGGAACCGGGCCCACTAAGTTTAACAAGCTTTCTACCCCCTGAGTGACCCAGTTGTATTTACATAAACATGCCATGCAAGTACACTTAACTGATCAGATTCGGTCTATCAATGCACAATGTAACGCGGTATATCCATAAATCTGTTTCAGAAAATGCTCACATTTCAGTTCTAGGGGTGGAAAAATAAAAAAACATTTTCTGGGGGAGAATACCCCAAGACCCCCCTACTAGTACATATGATATCACACCAAACTTTTGTCACCAACAACCATCTGCCATCTCTCCACACTCAATATAGTATGGTCCCTTTTTGTAGATGCCCACCCCCAGACAAGCTTTGTAAAAAAAAACCCTGTGTTCAAATCATTTCGCTGTATGAAGACGGGTCGTGGGTTAGGGTTATGGTAGGACAAATGTTGCATTGCAAAGTAGTAACACATAATATATATTTTTTGTTCATATATGGTTGAATCATATTCATCAGGGTAAAACATGAGCTAGATTAAACAGATTGTGATAATATCTAACTTTATCTGCAACACACACCTGTTTCATTGCTGTTAATTTTTCAATCCACACTGGGGGGGGGGGGGT